CCACTTTAATAGTTGACCAATCATTATATCAAAAGCTTGTTCGATTGTGTTTAACTGATGAACCATTACTGACTCATTTTCGTTCTTCAACTCTTCTACAATTGACGATTAATGTCCAATGTTTTGATGATTGTCTTTCTCTTCTTGATGGTCGTTTTCCGTCTCTTCATACGCTCGATGTGGAATTGGCTAACATGTATTGTTCGAATGAAATTTCAAATCAAGTTAGTTCGATAAAAGCTTGATGTGATTAACGAAATGCACGTTTTTGTTTCAGGGTGATCTACCAAATCTAAAACGTTTATCTATCTCATGCACTTTTGAAACATGATTATCAAGATAGAATTCCTCCACTTGTACGTCGAATGTATCATCTTGAAGAACTCAGTTTATGTTTCACAGTTCATGAGGAGAAAACATTTCTCGATGGAAACAATTTGAAGAAAGATATTCTACGGCATCTGTCACGATTAAATCGATTTTCATTTTCGATTAGTTCTTTTATATTTGCCAGTTATCAAACAACTCTTCCATCACCGGAAGACATCCAGCGTACATTCGATGACTTCTCAAATCTTCAAGTTCATTCCTGTGTGGATTATTTTCCAAAAGCACGACTAGGTCGATGTCTGATTTATTCTTGTCCATCTCTTCTTCGATATTATGACATTATTACAAATCATTTTCCTGGTGGCTTATTTATCAATGTTCGCAAAATATCATTAGTTGATGAACATCCGTTTGAGCATGAATTTTTTCATGTCATTCAAAAGTCATTCCCATTTCTGCAAAGATTATCTGTTCAAAATGATCATCCACAAAAGTGTAAACCATTTTCGAAATCAATTGATGAGAATGAAAATTCATCGGTGATTGACTATCCTTATCTAAATGAATTGTTCATTGTGAAGGTGCATGATGATTATGTCGAGCAGTTCCTCGTTCATTCGAAAACATCCTTTCAAAATAGTATTCTTCATATCAATTACGAATCTTTACAACGAATAACACATAATTTTACAAGAGATGATACACGAATAAATTGTACTCGAATCAATCAATTAGTTTTATATGGAGAGAAAAATCATTCCGACTGTTTACAGGAATATTTCCCTTCTGCAAAAATTTCGTATTATTGAAGAATATTTGGAGAAATCTCCTTGAAAAAGAGATTTGTCTTGTTTATTTTTCCGACCAAGTCAATTGGAATTAGCTTTTTTAATAAATCGACTTCATTTCAATGATTATTTGTGGACATTATTAGACATCAGCACCTTCGAAAGTGGTTTCATCCATCCATTCATATCAGCAGTGAATGAGTAAAATAAAGAAGAAAAGTCAATCGTATTCAGGGTGGCTAGATCAAAAAGTTGAAAATCAGAAAATTCTTTTTAAAAATCAGAATTGATCAGAAGTTTTTTTCTCGAAATCAGAAAAAAAATCAGAAAATTCTTTTTAAAAATCAGAATTGATCAGAAGTTTTTTTCTCGAAATCAGAAAAAAAATCAGAAAACTCGATTTTTATAAGTTGGTGCAGCTTATTTTTAAGTATTATCACCAAGTAGTCTGTTGATATGTTGTTCGTTCATTTGTAATTTATTTGCAAAGAAATTTCATTTCATTAGAAAGAAACACGAAAGTCAGACGTATCATTAGGTAATACAGAGTACCTAAAAATATATCCATAATGTCAAACGTTCTCACATAATTTAAAAGTCATTCACATAGAGAAAACAAAATCAAATGACAAACATAATTTTTTGTCAAAACAGATTCTATAAGAAAAAATAAATAAAACGGAAAACATCAGTCGGCATACTTGTTGGTATTTTATACTTTTTCCGCATTTACTTCAACAAATCCGCTTGAGACAGAATATGTTTATGAAATTCTTCACAAGAATAGTTAGAATCTATTCTTATTGAAAGTTCAGCATGAACTAGTATTACATCCATTAAAATATGATAACTTAGCTGGTAAAGTGATCGTGTATTCGAGAAACTACCAATAATTACTAAAGGGCAAAAAATGGCGCAGTATTGACATCTTTTGTAGGAAAGGTTTAGACATATTTTGCATTCATAGTGTAGCTGTAAAGTGAAACAGTTTAGGATTCTATAGAATTTTAAAAAAGTTCCGAAATCAGAAAAAAGGCAATATCAGAAGAAATCAGAATGTCAGAAAAAAATCAGAAAGAGACTTAAATTTCAGAAACTTTCCTTACTTTTCAGAAGATCTGGCCACCCTGTTCACGAGGGAGGCACCTGAAGTGTTAACCTGCTTTACAGTTCATATTTTGACCACAGGTCAACCTCAATGAAACTAGTAGAAAGCCAACAGGATTTGGACACATACCTCGGAAGTCAAAAGTTATGAACACCTCATCGTTGATACAAAATACGTAATAAAGGACCTTATTGCTTACTCTGGAAATCTTTTGATCTGCATAGTCATTTTTTTCGATAACAAAACTATGCAGCTCGCCGTTTTATTAGCGCGCTTTTGCCGTGTAGTGGTTACGAGAAAGAATGTAATGATCACAACCATGTAAAACCTGTAGACACGGCGGGATGTAACACTTGAACTTCATTTTTCTAGCAATCCGAAGTTTGTAGTACTTTCGAATTTCCAACACAAGAATCGAGTGAATCTGCAATGGGCAAAGATGTAGCGCTTGAAATTCTTTATCGAACGATTTATAATTCAGAAGAGTTTATAAAGATAATAATTTTACATACAAGATTGTAAGTTGTTATTCAATGAAAAATGTTGAATGTTATTTTGATTACTTTTAAACCATATCAAATTGATTGAGAAAGGATTCTGCATATTTCTCTTTTATTTTCTACTCCAAATTTTCAGAATACAACGTGAAGATTTGTTGCAAATTTTAACGAAAAACTGAGACCTTGTTGCAGTCTGCTATAGCCAAAAACGATTCTCGATCTGCTGAGTGCATAAAAATTTGCACTTGTTAGGTCAGGACCTCCGCATAAAATAGTTTTAGCTCATAAAAGTGAACTTTTAAATTAATCAGAGTAAATGCACTTCAGCTCTTGAACTTTCCTAATCTGACAGCAAACCATGACGCAAGGAACGAGGATTTAACGAGATTTTTCTCTACGTCAAACACTCGAAGCAAGAAAAATGGTACGCGAAGGCGTATTTTTATTGAAAAAGTGCCTGCGTGAATTTTCTTATTGCTTTTTTCTTCAACTCTGAAAGTTAGTTGGTCAAAATATACTTTTACATAAAATACGAATTAAACAAAATTCTTCAGCGATTAAGTAATTACAAACTATACAATAACTCAACATATTGTCTCTTTTTCTTTAGAAATATTAACCAAAATGTCTTCAGATTATGAAATAATAGCGTTGTTATCAGCAATTTTAAAATATTTCCATCAAATCGGTGGACCAATTTTAATGATTATCGGAAGTGTTAGTTGTATTTTGAATTTATGTGTTTTTGGTAGAAAAAGTTTACGGAAAAATCCATGCACAATATATTTAATAGCAACAAATATTAACGGTTTACTCTTAATCTATACATCAACATTATATATGACATTAGCATTTGGTTATTCAATTGATCCAACAGCTTATAATGTCGTATTTTGTCGTTTTCGTTTTTATACAATGTTTCTTTTTGAAATCTTATCTCCATGCTATCTCATATTAGCTTCTATTGATCGTGTATTGATTACATCACAAAGTGCCTTAACAAGACGAAAGAGTACTAATCGTCTTGCTTATGTTTCGATAACTATTGTCACTATATTCTGGTCAATAGTTCATTGTCATTCATTTATTTTCATGAATCTTGTATCATTTGCTCCAGGCTTTTCTGCTTGCTTTTTTCAGCCTGCTTCATATTTATTAGTGATGAGTTATTATCCACTGGTTGTTAAAGTGTTTCTCATCCCTTGTTTGATGATCACGTTTGGTTTATATACAGTGAGAAATATTCGAAAGGTAAACAAAACTGCTCCGACTCTGTTGATACACAGTGCAACAACAGCAAATGGAAATTCGCGTATTGTTCGATCAAAGGATCAACAACTTATTAAAATTCTATTGATGGATATAACTGTTTATATTGTATTCAACTTAATACAATCTGTTATTGTTATTTATCAACAAATTGGTCAAAATCAACCACATACTATTTTGCAATCTCAAATAGGAGGATTTATTTTTATTCTTGCTCTCACATGCTCACCAATTCCATTCTATATTGGATGTTATACGAATCTAATTGTATCAAAAACTTTTCGACAAGAAATGAAAAATATTCTGATGCTCAGATGAGTATTTTACTGTATCAAACACCAAAATTTTCATTTAACATTCAAGTAATCCGTTTGATATCGTTTTGTAAAAATGTTGTTATTCATCTGTCAAGTAATAAAGACTTTATATTATGATATGAAAATGTGGTCGTATTTTTGAATCAAAGTAGTGTGAAAAGATGTCAGTTAGTACAGTGAATCTTGTTAATTTCAAAGAGATATATGCCGAGATTACATAAAACTAGTGGACTTGGAAAGAACATGTGCGGCGCAAGTTCCATTTTCAAGGTGAGGCAATAAAATTTTTATATCCATAGCAGCGAACGTTGTGACAGCGCGAGAGAAAAAAAATCTTGTGGAAAATGTTAAAAGATTTCTACGAAGGTTTTGCGAAAATAATCAAGAAAATCAGAGAAATCAGTGAAAAAAGTCTTCGGCTTCCCAGATTTATTATTTAAACATATCTCGATAAAGCTTTCAATTCTCGACATTCTTTCTTCTATAAGAAAGTTTTTGGAAGGGAGATTCAATATTCTTAGAATAACTTTTAAAAGATGAGAATATTAATAGAAGCAATAACCGTTTATTGCCTCCCTTCGCTTATCAGGCGAATCACCTATGGTATTGATCGTGCTCTATATAATATAAATAGCGCTCGTCGGAGGTGACTCGCATTACCCTCGACTGAAAAAATCACAATATATTATCAATTTGATATTTGTTTTTCTTTGTTTCAGTTAAGAAAAATACTTTCTAATATAATCTGTATTTATTTATTTCTATATGAAGTAAAGACACGCTAATGATATAATGATCAGCTACACAAAGGAAAAGAAAAAACAAGTGAATATTGAATGTAAATGAATACAAATCAGACAAGCTAAACAAAAAATACATATGCGGAAAAATTCGAATGAAAATTTGCACTTTTATTTACAAACAATAATGAATAGAAAGAAAAGTTTGAATTATACAAGAGATTTGTTCAACTACAAAAGATGCAAATAAATCCCATGCGAAAAATGGATGACAAGTAATGAAGATTTGGCGTGTTCTGTAAAATTTGTTAAAACCACTCTGAAAAACGCACCTGTGCTTCGATGTAGAGTTTATCTAGTCTTTGCATTTCGGCGACTTGAGATTTACTGGGTTTAATCAGTAAGACTTCGTAATCGAAATGTCGCAAAATAACTAAATCACTTGAACGTTTGACTCTGGACAATGGAACATAGACTGCAGCGATATCATCTGTATCCTTTGGTAACTTTAAATCAATTACAACTTTGTTTAAAGTTTGTCCCTGACTTTTATGAGTTGTAATAGAATAGGCCGGTACAAGAGGTAATGCGCGTCGCTTAATCGATAACATTGCCTTTCTGTTTATTTTGATTTTTTGTTGTTTATTTTCAGAATAATATCAGAAATGTCAAGCTGAAATGTTTGTTCCGTTATTGGTATTGGGATAAGTTTTGGTTGAAGGTTTTTAAGATTACATTCAATTTTTGATTTACTTATTTCGACCAATGCATATTTTGGTTTATGGACATATTGGGTGTTTACAGGAAAAGTTTTTGAAAGACTATCTGTTGACACTGAATCAAGATCATAAACCAGTTGTCTAAAGATTCCATTCATACCATTAATTAATCCCAGTTCTATAGCGATATTTTGTGTAATAATAACCGGCATTCCAGGAACTAACGGTAACAAACTCGGTAAATGTTCAGTCTTACTATCAGATAGTTCTAATAATTTTTTCACAAGTGCCGGCTCCTCCACAGCCTCGCCTTTACAAAAATCCTGAGCGACACATACCATTAGATTGGTACC